TATTTCATTTTAAAAGAGGTCACAACTCAACTGTCCAACTGGATAGTTATAAACCATTGTTTCTTAAAAACAAGTCGCATTTCGTTGTATTTGCCTTTCACTTGGATGCTGCCTTGTAATGAGATTCTCCTTTGTCTGCAGTTCGGGAAGGTTGGAAAATTCATATTTGAAGTATTTTGGGGACAACAGGTGGAGAATATCTTTCATCTGACATTTGAAATCATTGGCAAGGACTTACTTCAAACTTAGTGTATTATAGCCATATCTATAACCATAGAAATACCAGTGTCCTGATTAAATCCAAACATGGTGGTTAAGAATAGAGGGACACTGTCAGGGGTATTAGAGAGATGCTTTCAAGCAGGTGAAAACTTCGAGCTGTTTTAAGCAGTGGAAGAAGTCAAGGAGATACTAATGAAGAGAGAGACACAGGAGGAAGTGCTCAACGTTATGGGAAATTGTGCCCTTCCCTAGTTTTAACTTTTCCTAAGAAGTGTGATTTAATGATATGTCGGGGTGATCTTGGGATACAGGATGAGGAACCACAGATTAGACAACTGTCAGAGAAAGAAAGTGGGGTGGCAAACATCTCACATGGGACCCTCCCTAGTAAGGCTGATGGGGAGAGATGTACTTTCAGACTTGTATGATTCTATTAATGGTAACCTTACAACAAAGTTACAAGTAGTCCTTCTGGGCAGTTCTTCTTTCCTGGATTACTTCCCACAGCTGATGTGGTTCTCAGACTATCGTTCTTTTATGTAATATTTCAAGTCCCTGTTAGGTTTGAAGAAATTGTGTGCTTTGAGATGTAAGAGTACTCAATAAAAGAAACACGAAGTTTTATTAATAACTGAGATATCTTTATTAAGCACAGAGAACACAAGATAACAACATTACAAGGCTTTTTTTTTTATCAAAACTGTACAACTTATCAAATGCACAAAGGAGTGTTTTTGTTTTGTTTTGTTTTTCCTGGAGTGGGGAATGAACCAGGCACATACACAAAAAAAGGGGGTTCAAACTGGCCACAGGGATTTAAAAGGCATATTTTCCAGACTCGCTGGCTTAAAAACACAAACAAACCCATTTTTTTTCCTTTGCTTTTTTCTTTTAAAGGTTAAAGTATTTGCGTTTGGAAATGGTGGGACTCCAAACCATGAATCAGTCGCTTCATGAACACCCCAGGTTGGGCAAACAAAACAGAACAACTGCCTCATTAAAAATACTCTACTCACACGGGGTGCAAACCAGCATGGGCCACCGCTGTTTATCGTCCGTTTATTCTAATGAGCTTGGCAGGCCAGGACCCCCCAAGGCCCCTTTGAAATGGGAGGGGGCATTCAGCAGCAGCGGGGCCTGCTGAATTGCACTTACAATCAGCAAGAGTTTTCTTTTGAAGCCTGAGGTAGATCTACATCATAGAAAAGACAAGGACACACGCATACAGACAGAGACTATTAAGGGCAGATAGGGTAGAACATACAACCTTCTTTCTTTAAAAAAAAAAAAAAATCTGCAGAACGTAGTGCCAGTTCTACACAATGCATTGCATGCTGACAGTCAACTTAACAGCTGCCCAACATGAAAATATTTGAACAGGGGGAGAGCTTTGATCAGACAGGTATTATCAACATAACAAACAAAACAAGAGTGAAGTTTATACATTGCCAAAATAAAGTTTACACCGCACAGTCTTTTTTCACCTTATCTTATTTTAGTAGTTCCACTATTGGCAAGCTTTATAAAAAATATATGATTGGATGATAAGGCAAGCAAATATTTATAAGTAAATCTGGATGAGAAAGCCTGCAATATAGAAAGTATGATATTTAAGGGTGTTTTTTTTTAAAGCTATGTATAAGGGCAGAGGTCACGTGGGGTGATACTTTTATTGGAGACATCAGAAAAAAATTGCCAAATTGTGAATAAGGGCAATATTTTCAAGCTAGTTGACAAATTTTGAATTAACATAAGGTTGGGCTGGATTATAACAACTCTTTTTTTTTAAAAAAAACCCTCAAATATTGTATTTATTTAAAAAACACACACATATATACTCTGCGTTGTGTGTAATGTGGGCTCACCCTAGCCATGATCCTGACAAATTGGTATACACACTAATCAAATTTAAAAAGTTGAAATCATTGAAGAAGACTTGTTAAAAAATAATCAATTTGGTGTCTGCCAACAGATATTACAAGGGTTATAGCTGATTATCCACAAATGTTCTGACAAAATCCCTGCAAAATACCATACCATATATCTTTAAAACCAAGTTTTAAAATGTGTTAGTGTGGCACAATATATTCACAAGAAGCTCTGCTATGCAACATTAAATAGAATACAAGAACTACCATCCTAAAAAAACAAACTTTTAGTAAACAATGAATGGCATCATCATAATGCAAAGCTTTTATCTGTAGGGGAGAAAACATACTTCAATGACTGTGAAAAAGTCACTTGCTTGTGGCACAGGTATCAGTTAAAAATATTATTTCTTATTTGGTTTCTGGTTTATAACAGTAGTTACTCCCTTCTTCAATATTACTAATTTCAAAACTTCTATAATTCAACTGAAATATACAAAAAAATTGCTGGATTAAATAGCCTACTATTAACTGATTCTCTCCAGGTGGAACTACAACTCCCAGAGTTCCCAGTCAACACATCCAGGCTGACTGAACATTCTAGGAAACATTCAAACACATCTGAAGGATTGAGAAAGGAGTTTCACTGCCCAATCAACAATATTAAGAATTTTCTATTGTTAACAAAGGGAAAATAATAAAGTCAAGATATAATAAAACTGAGCTTTCTGTAGTAATGTTTAAGTGCAGCGAGGTTGCTCTATTAATTCTATTTTAATCTTTTATATAGGTCCAGGATAATGTAACTTCTCTAGTTGTTAAAGTGGAATTCATTTGTATGTCAGGAAATATAAAGCTTCTTTTTAGAGTAGTTTTCAATAGAAATATTCATAATGCATCATCTTTCTAAAAAAACAAACATTTAAGCAATTTACACAAAATGTTTTAACATTTTACTCCAGGAATCAAATTTATAATAATTCTATACTTCTACTTTTTTTTAATCTAAAGAATCAAAACAGGGGATATAACTCTTAGACAAAGCCACACAATTCACAGTAACCAAACTTACCCACCTTGTATAAAGCCATTTAGATTTAAATATATGTATTTTTAATATATACTTATATTTTATGCTCACATTTAATATAATAGAGCTATGATTGATTTAAAGACTCTAGTCTTCTCTGAAGACATTTTAAAAGTTTTCATACATAGAATATGATTGCATAATACATTCAGCTGAAGGTTAGGCAAAGCGCATTCTTTTTAAATACACAGGTAGCATCCTGACTATCTGGACCCCTCCCACCAATCCAGTCCTGCAAACACTTAGGTGTGGAAGTAATTGTTTTGTCTGATTTCTTTTAAATACATTCCAAATCTGCCAAAATCCTCACATTTAATCATTTCTGCACCAGAACTTTATTTTAGATTCATTTTAATTTGCCTTCGGGTAAAAAAATTGCATCTTGGATTTCAATTATGAGTAGTAGCCTTGAGTATTTTTTTAAAAAACAAAATGGGTTCTGCATTTTGTACCACTATTTGTAGCTTACCTAGGTTGCGAGGTTACAAGGTTGCATGAAATGCAACCAAAACAGTGGTCCTCTCCTGGGTACCACCTTTGGAATATGCTCCTGGAGCTGAACATTAATAAAATTGACAATTGAAAATGTTGCCCATCAGCAGGTGAGAACATTCTACTTGAGGGGGTGAAAAGCTATACCTACTTCTGATGGAAGAGAATATTCGTAGCTCAGAGTTGAACTGTGGGGTCCTTGGTGCTTCTCTGGGCCTGACATATCCCTTTAATCTGTTTCTTGAGCTACTATTTAAAAAATGGGATCAGAACTGACTGCTGTAATTGGATTTTTGGGAGTCAGCTGGCAATTCTTTTGTGCCCCAGAAGTAATTTTAATGGAGTGGAAAGGTGGGGGCATAAACCCCAGCTTTCTTTGGGCTCTACTATGAGCAAAACCCAGGCAGGCATTGTGCATTTAGCCATTCTTGACCTCCTCTGAAATCCTAGTGCAGTTTCACTCAAATTAGCTAAGGAATCCTTTCCAACATAGAGATCATTACTAATCTATATAGCTCTTACAAGTCTCCAGTGAGGACACGAAACAAACAAGAAGCTAAGATTGAAAGCAGGTAGTCCTCACTTACTGATGGCCTTATCTAACAACCATTCAAAGTTACAACAGTGTTAAAAAAATTGATTTGTGACCAATCCTTATAGTTACAACATGATCACCATTCTGGTGTTTTGCAACCAATGTGCATTTACAACTGTTGCAGTGTCCTGCAGACACATGTTTGCCATTGGTATGTTTCACAACTGCCTTGCAACGGTTAAGTAGAGAAGGGAAAGTAAAATCATAAGTTGTGGACACACCATGTCTTGCTTAATGACTGTGGCATTTAGCAAAGGAATCCCAAGGGTGGCTTGTTAAGCAAGGAATGGCCAAAATCTTGGAATGGCCAAAATCTCAGGAAATCTGCTAATCTCAACAGGATTTTTGTTTCCTCGTCCAAAATCTCATAAAATTTCAGATGGGATTACCACAATTGCACAATATTTTTACATGTTTAAAGCTTTTGGTGGTGGAGCAGTAATAATAATGATAACAATGAACCAAAAAGGTTTGCAATCACTAGTCTAACAGTTTGTGTTGAAGGGGGAGGTATTTACAGGACTTTTCTGTTCAACACATATTTAAATACCTCAGTTAAAATAATCTTTAAGTGGCATGGTTCCAAATTATCAACCAATATGACTCTGCAAACTGAATTTAAATGGGCACAATTTCTGACTCCCTTGCAACTGACCAGTAAATTGATCTAATAAAAATTCAACTACAAAAATATGAAAAAAAAAAACCTAATGTCTGAAGTTATCAAAATAACTGTGCTGATTTTGCTTTCAGTTCTCAAAATGATAACATAATATTTTTACAATTTCATGCCATTTCAAGTGTTACTTTGATGCATTTCCAATTGTGAAACTGAGATGAGTCGGAATAAAAAAAAATAACAAAAGCTTTTATGGGAGACATCTTGCTATCGATGCTATAGGTCACAAATAGCATGATTCAATAGTTGTCTCCACTGAGCACTAAACAAATGGGAAAAAAGTAACATGATAGAAAACTGGATCCACAATATTTGACCTTAGTGTTTTCCAATAACCTAAAGGGAAAAAAGCTAGCTACTTTTAATGCAGAACCATTGTCATGGGACACAGAATTGAATTTGAATATTAGTTTATACTTTTAGAAGTCAGCAATATATGCTTAAGGAGTCATGTTAAGCATGGCCACATGTATACTACAAACATCTCCAGATGCTTTGAGGCCACAAATCCAATCAAAATGAATGTCTTACAATAGACGGCTCTGAAAATAATGTAAAAATATCTAAAAAAATGTATCAGGGAATCATTTTACTTTTTGTAGTCTTCCTTCCTTTGGTGAAGTATATTCAGGCATTCCTAAGTTCAAAATTGGCCAATGAAATAACCTCATCCTGAACTTCCAAGTGCAATCATAGTACAACCTACCCACCCTCTTCCAGAATATAGCTTTATGGATGCATTGGTGGGCGTGGCCTTTACAGAAAAAACAAGATTTCCCCATTCGACACAAAAGCCGTAGACAATTCTGCAAATTCACTCAGTGGAAATGCATCTACGAAGCCACGTCTAACGCAGCAGTGAGTAGGCAGGTGGCTATATCTGCAAGCACATCTCACATCAGCAGTCTCCAAACTTTTTGGCCCCAGCGACCGGTTTCGTGGAGCGCAATCTTTCCACGGACCGGGGTGGGGGGGAGGAGCACGCAACCTAGATCCCAGGCATGTGCAGTTTAGAGAAGGGTTTGCGCACCTATGAGAATCTTAAGCCGGATGATCTGAGGTGGAGTAGAGGCCGTGGTGCTAGTACCGGGCAGAGGTTGCAAGTACAGATGAAGCTTCGCTTGCTCACCTCCAGCTGTGTGGCCCAGTTCCTAACAGGCCACGGACCGGTACTGGTCCGTGGCCCCCTGCCTTTCACGAAGCAAGGCTGCGAGACAGGACCATAGGATGGCTTAATGCAAATCGCCACAAGACAAAGAGCAGGTGAAAAGCATGCAGGATACAAAGAGTGCCTTGTAGAGAAATCTTAGATTACAAGGGTGAGACTAAGTTGCTCCATCTGGGGAGGGGGGGGAAGGTAGTTCCCACCAAGGCAGCAAAAATGCAGCAACCCTTACAGCTACCCTAAGTATTCAAGCAAGCTTTTGGATATATGAGAAGGAAGGATAGCAATTACAAATATCTAACCAACATGTATTTTTAGCCCCTGTACGCTGCTTTCATTTCAAAAGCTTCAGTGGATACACATCCCTTAAATGGAGAATAGCACAACCAGGGGCAAAAGGCTTTCCAAAGTCAAGCTCAACAATTACACAGTGACACAGCTATGGTGACCTGCGATGCCTATCGGAGGAAACCAGTTTTCAGCTGTGGCATTTGAAACCACCCTGCCTTTGTGGCCCAGTGGGTGGGGGAGCGAGGGAGGTTAAGAAGGAGTAGAAGAAAAATACCAAGCCCTCTTTCCCCAGCTTATGAGACTGAAATCCCTTTGCCGACACCTGGGGTCCTCCTGCACGTTTGCAAAAACTCGGCTCTGGGATCCTCTGGAGACAAAGCAGCATTTGCAGAGGCGGGAGTGGGGGGAAGTTGTGTTTCACATTGAGAATGCCTGGACCTTTGTATCCAGTCCACAGCTGCACAAAGAGAGTAGCTCCGTCACGTGTAGCCTTAGCATGCGGCGGGAGATTCAAGGACCGTGTTTCTCCAGAGAAAAGCCGGGGAAAAAAAAGAAGAAGAAGGAAATGCCTTCTCATTTTTGCCAAAAGAATCCAAACCAATAGACCGAAAGGCGACAAACAGCTGTTTCTGAACCTCTGGTCTCTGAAGTTGCTACGTGCATTTCCATCCCGCCTCCTGGGTTAGGCCCTGCTGCTGCTGGAACAGGGGGTGCTTTGTGTGCTGCCGATACTGTGGCCTGCACTGCTGTTTTCAGAGGGTGGGGGCGATGTAGGAACCTGCTGCCTTCCTTCTGGTTCTCCTGGAGGGGAGGAAGAAATAAACAAAAAGGAAGCTCAGAGTTACTTCTACTGTCCTCGCACTCTCCTGGCTACCCCTGAAAGGGAAGGGGCGTGGAGGGAACTTAAGGGAAGGGGAGGGAAGGGAAAGGAAAAGAAGTTAAGAAAAGGGAAGTTAAAGGAAGGGGAAGGAAGGGAAGTTAAGGGAAGGGGAAG